TATATGAAATATGTAAGGTTTTCAATTTTTTGAATCCTTTATAAACAATGTCAGTGCACAAGCAGAGATTCTGTTCAGGGTGTTACACTCGGTTATTTGTAACGCACAGTGCACCATCTAGTGGTCATGTCTCTAATCGACAGTCACGTGGTGTTGCTCTTGGAACTCTTCAAACAAAACAGCTGCTGGTGGACTTCCTGACAGACGAATGGAAAAACATAAAAAGCAACTTTAAGCTTGTATCTTATCATTCTAGTGTAATTTTGTATTAGCTCTTACATCCACTAGTGAAATTTTGTATGGAGTGGATCTTATTTGTTGTGTAGCTACTTTCTTCTCTCATTATGGGTAATGGGCTGAATAACTAAACCTCAGTTACAATATTGTGCAAAAGTCTTGAGTCACCTCTTATTTGTTTATATTTTGATACGAAATTGGAATCACATGAAACTACAAAACACATGTGATACACTCTGATGTGAGTTTGCCAGTGATAGCAGGAAATGTCTTCTACCCAGCAACCTAAATGACAGCATTCAGGGCAATCAGCTAATTTTACACATTGGTTTTATACGTTAGCATATTTTTACTGAGAACACTGAATAAAAGCATTATAACATTTCTTGTCACACATGGGCCTCTGATGATGACGTAAGTCAGCAATTTGGTTCACGGTTTCATAACCAAAAAGGATTTACCAAGCACTAAATCTTTTTAATTATTAAAGGTTTAACAAAAGTATCTTAAAAGTAGTGCCGACAACTCAAATATGATTGTTTTTTCCATAATAGCTCCACTTAAAGATGGGCAAAGACTCCAGTAATGACATAATATGCAAAAATAATCCCTCAAGCTTAAAGCTAAAGCAGCTTTAAACACTTTTTTTTAATACTAGCTCTGTGTGTTACCAACAAGAGGGGATGTTACTGTATCTCAAGCAGAAACCTACCTGCTGTTCAAATCTTCTTTTTTTCGTGGGAAAGCAAATCAGAAGAACTTTGGCTTTGACTACTTTTGGACTGAGTCAGTCCAAAACTAGTTGGTATTGAGGGGTTACACCAGGGACCTGTATTAGATAAATAAGGACTAATTTGAAAGGTAAATCATTGCAAAGCTAGAATCTAGTAGATTTAAGAGTAAAAGAAAAAAAATATCGGAACTGCAAATTAGAATAATAAGCCTACATTAATAAAAAAATAAATAAAAAAAATCCTGCTGTGACAACACGTTCTCACTCCCAAAGCGTAACATTTTACGCTAGGTGACAAATCGTCAACATATTACGTTTTCGGCTACCCACCACGTTCCTAAATGACAACCTCGGGAAAATGAGGAATTATGAGAACCGTATGGACTCAATCTACACATGTTCGCTCTTTTTCTTCAAATCGCTTAGAAACACGCTATTTAACATCATTAAAGTCATGGTTAAGGTCAGGAAAAAGGTTATGGTTAGGGCGCTGGCTGTGATCTGCTTTCAGCCAGAAGATGGAGTGATGGACACAGAAATCTTGGATTCACTCACTGCTCGAGTTCCTCTGTCTGCTTCAAGCACAGACGTGAACTTAGCACATCTTCCACAGCAAGAAAAGCGGTGCAATGCTGTGAAAGCTGGGATTTAAAAGGTCAGACGAGTTCTTCGGTAAGCTTTTATTTTGAAAGTTTCAGTGCGGGTGGGCGGGTGTGTGCACCCTTGGCACTTTCAGGCAGTTGCGCTGTCGAAACACATCTGGAGAGCGGGTTCGTTATGAATTTGAAACAGGCTGCTTCCTTTGGAAGCGGACAGGATACGTCATAGTGGCAGCAGTGTTCATCAGATGTGTCCGCTCCCTGGAATGACATCAGTAAGATATATTTCGATCACGTGTCAGCGTCCCAGAGACAGTTAAGAGATGAAGTTGTAACTGGAGAAGCTTCGTCGCTGTTGTTGGACTGAGCAGTCCGTCAACAGCTGGATGAGGGTTGGAAACATCTGCAGCGCTTATTCCGGAAAATGAAGCAGCAGCTGGATGAATTTACGCCTCGGTTCCTGAATGGAACATGTCAGGAATGATGCAAGGCAACACCGGCTGTTCTCCAGTCGAGCACGAGAATAACCCTCTCTGATCATTTAGAATAAAACCACTTTAACGTAGCACCAGGTGGATCAGACAGGAATGAGTCGGATTAAAGATTCCTCTGAGGAGCTGCGCTCTCTACCACCAAGACCCCCGAACTTACCTGCAGCTCTCCCAAAGAGACGGTTTGTCAGGCTGGGGAGGAAGACCAGTGATGGCTCTCAGCAGTGAGTATGAAACACGTGCTAACAAATGCGTATTCGTGCCAAATTGTGTTCCAATGCACTTTAATTAACAAGTTGTTCACCTGACCAAACTTTTGTCTGCCTCAGTGCACCTTTACTTCTGTCTTCGTGCTTCCTGTCATTTGATTGTATTGTTAGGCATGCTGTTTGAATGTTGTTGTATGCTGTTATGTATTCAATCCTGATGTGTCCTGGAACTTGCGATCCCTTAAGCCACTGGATATAACAAAGCATGAGGTCCACATTCACACTGACAGACTGTCTGTGTATTTGAACTGTGAACTTGACTTTAATTGTAACAAAAACAGATGATCCATGTTGATTGTTCACCTGACAAAACATTTGTATCCCCAAGTGCAAGTTTACTTCTGTCTCTTTCTTCCGATTTGAATGTTTTGTATTTCATGTAATATTAGTCCCAGTCACTGTGAACAGGAACTGATCGGAAATTTTAAACTTCAAGTGACTGAATGGGGTCATTTTTGGCTCAGTCGTGTTTTTACATAGATTTTTAAAATTATACACATTTGCATTTGTCAGTCTACTTCTCCTATAGCATTTCACAGTTCAGTTTTCCACTTCTTACTTTTTTCGTAGTGTTTTGCAGTCATCCATGGCGAACAGACCTAGAGTTGTAAGCGTGGTAATGCTTTATAATATAGCCATTTACTAAAAGCACAATCATTAAGTGGAATTTTCAGTTTTCAGTTTTCAGTTTTATTTGTCATATGCAAGTTAGCACAGGGTCAACATTGCAATGAAATGTGTTTGACGAGCAGCAGTCACTCAGCAGCATGATACAGTAGAAGAAAATATAATAAAATATAATAAAATAAAATAAAGTAATAAAAAATAGAAAAATAGTAAGGAGCAAAATATTAGAGAGACATGGTAAAAGAGAAAAGATGATAAATATATATGTATCTATAAATATAAATATATGTACACTAGTGATTAAATAAGAAAATCTTGAAAAGAAATATGACAGGAGGGCAGATGGGATATTGCACAGGAATGAGCAGCAGAAAATTACAGTATTGCACTTTTAAATATAAATATCAATAACAATAAAGTGGAGTGACCAGTGCAGATTAAACAGAGTACTTGTGAAGCTGCAGGGTAGCTTCTGAGTGCGTCCTGTGGACTGTGTTGTGTGTGTTTAAGTGTTGTGGTTGAGGTGTCGTATGGCTTGGTGGTAAAAACTGTTTTTGAGTCTTGTAGTCTGAGCAGACAGGCTCCTGTAACGTCTGCCAGATGGTAACAAGGAGAAGAGCTGATGTGCTGGGTGCCTGTGGTCCTTGATGATGCTGTGTACTTTACGGAGGCATAGCTGGAGATAAATGTCCTGAATGGCAGGAAGCCTCATGCCAGTGATGTGCTCTGCTGCCTTCACCACCCTCTGTAGTGATTTACGGCTGCTGGCAGAGCAGCGTCCGTACCAAACTGTGATGCAGCTCGTCAGCAAGCTCTCAATTGCACACCTGTAAAAATTTGAGGTGATGCTGGCGTTCATGCCAAACTTCCGCAGCCTCCTCAGGAAGTAAAGCCGCTGGCGAGCTTTCCTGATAGCAGTGTCTGTGTGAAGGGTCCAGGAGAAGTCATCTGTGATGTTGACTCCAAGGAACTTAAAGCTGCTGACCCTTTCGACCTTGACACCGTTGATGTGGATGGGCTGGTGTTCTCTGACTGGTCGTTTCCAGTAGTCCACTATCATCTCTCTAGTTTTGCTGATGTTGAGAGTCAGGTTATTTTCCAGACACCACTCGTACAGCGCCATCACCTCCTCTCTAGGGAAGAATGATGATTTAAGTGACTTTAGATGTGGCGTGGAGATTAAAATGAAAATGCCAGAGCTCAGAGGAGAATGGTCAGACTGCTTTGAGCTGATAAGAAGACCACAAACTGAAATAATAACCACTAATCAAGTGCACAACATATGTAACCTTGAAACAGATGGGTTACACCAGCAGAAGACCACACTGGGTACCAAACCTGTCAGCTAAGACCAGGAAACTCAAACTATAGGTATCATACACAACGAGAGCCATTACAAAAGTATTTCATCATAAAATAAAACGAGGTTTTAAATGAAAGATATTCAGCAAAATTCCCCTTGCTCTACAGGGACTTATCCCTTGAAGAAACACAACCATAAAGATGCCAGCAGTGAAGCTGCACTAACACATACATGGACAATGATACTGTCACACTGAAGTTCAGTTCAAAGTTGAAAAAGCTCAGGCAAGTGGTTTTTAATTCAACATGGACACATGAACTTAAGTTTGGTACAGCTAGAGCCTTGCAGTATTGTTACACACCACTACACACACTACACTATGATGAACTCAGCTACTGGTGCTCGTCTTCCTTTTTTAAGACTATTGGCCTGATTCAGAAGCTGAAGACCAAACTGAAAAAAATGCCACTGCGTATTTCTTCTACAAATAAACCCACATTTTGAGCCGAGAGAACTTGAAGGAGCTTTCATTATCCTCTAATGCAACTGCTTATGTGCAACTAGGAGTGCTAAGATTATCAATCAGACATGTAAAATCGTTTATTTCCAAGTGGTGGCGTAACTGCAGAGAACCTTTGAACCATAATGATAAGTAGCTTAGAGGCTCAGTCAGAAGTAAAGCAACACTTGATTATTTCATTCATGTCCCAAGAGAGCTTAGAGAAGCATGGTGAAGGAAACCAGGCAGCACTGCATTACGGTCAGAACGGTATGTGCCTAGCATCCGTGCTGCTTTCAAGAATGGACATGATACTTTATGATTAGATTTGCTTTTTCTAATATCTTTGTTTTGGTTCCCTTTTTTGTGGCTGATGATTGTCTGATTGATTGAAGACACAAACATGTCTTCCTTGATCTTGAACCGATGTGATGGCTTTATCAGTCCTCCAGCTGGTAAGTGTTCAAAATGTTTCTCAAACACTCTTTTTTTACTTTTTTATTTAGCAGTTCAGCTTCATCCACTGGAAGTTCATCTGCTAGCAGATCTGCTGAGGGCGTGGCCATAAGACAGCCCTGCAAAAGCCGCATTCGTCGGAACACCCACCGCCTCTCAGGTGTCTTTCTCCGCACCCCCACCTCCACCTCAGGCTCCATGGCACTGACTGCAGGACTCAAGTCATCATTGTCTGTCCACACCAGGAAGGGAAGCAGTACGTCACAGTGACTTTACTTTCTCCCTGCATGTTTACACTCAGGATTTGTTGTGCTAATGCTACAGCTAGTGTTTTTAGCACAGATGACTTGTGGCTCTGGGATAAGTGATGATGTGCAAGACGATGACCCAAATGATATCATCAGAGCTATTTTGGCACTAGTTTGCAAGCGCTTTAGATTAATACGAAAATCTTGCATGCAGGCTGAGCCAGTTTAGAAAATAAAAGTCAGAGTAGCTCTGCCTCTGCTGTTTTCATTTTAATAATAATTGTTTTGATTAAATCAAACAATACCACTAAGTTAAACTGGCTGCATCAGTTGTGCAGTTTGTGTTATAAAGAATATTCATCAGCGGGTCATGGATGTACAGTAAGGGGCTGTGGCTCAGGATGTAGAGCAGGTCATCTGGCAGGAAATTTGATTCCTAGCCAGCCAAAGTGTCCTTGGGCAAGATGCTGAACCTGAGTGAACCTGAGTTGCTCCCATTATGTTCATTGGAGTGAGAATGTGAGATAGAGAGCACTTGGATGTAGAAATAAATGCTAGTGTGATTATATAGTGCTTTGAGTGTTCACGTAGAGTAAAAAAGTGCTATATGGGAACCACTGCACTTACTGTACATTAATTTTCACCATATTTTTTCATTACATTGTCCTTCAATTTTTGGAAAGTCACAAAAACAAAGTGCATTCAAATGCAAATATGCATTCTGAAATTGGTTAAAATGGTTTTGAATGACAATCAGCTAAAGAGAAACTGAGGAACCAGCCTAAACTGCATCAGTTAGCATTAAACTTGTTTTACTGCATGCTTTTTTACTAATGCTCCGTGAAGGGGGACCTGTTATACTTTTTCAGGCTTCAGGCTGTTCTATCCACTCAATTTCTGACAGTTTTTCTTCTACTCTTGGCTCTATATGATGTGAAGATAGAGTAGATATACCGAAACTGGCCCTGAGCACAGAAGCCCCACCAATCTTCTGTTCAAACCTTTTGTTTTTTAATGGGCAGCAACTCAGAGGAAACCTGACTTAACCTGACTTCAAGAATGAGGTTAAAAAAAAAGTAAATATAGTATTTACTAAATGTGAATCATACAAAGCTACTCTAGCAGAGTTAAGAATAAAACATGGAGCTCCTTTAATAAAAACTAATTTTTGTAATCACATGTAAAAGTTTGGCCTTTCATCGATAATACCAAACCACAACCGAGTAAAGCATTAAACCTCCCTTCCCTTTCTGCAGTGATCTCTGCAGATGCTTTAATTGCAGAAGACCCATCTGAGCTGTCCAATCAGATAACTGCCCCAGGAATCCTGAAGATCTTTGGAAATGAAATCCTGGAAGGAGCTCACTATAAAAGCGTCCTCGCCACCACGCACTCCAGTGCAAAAGAGCTCGTCAAAGAGGCCCTTGAACGGTGAGACCATGTGTTATCTGGGAACATGCGTCTGCCTGCCATATGTGCCTGCTTTGTGTGTTTGCTCATGAGCCTGGCTGAGTTATGTATATCCATATGCTTCTTCTGCTGGAGCGGAGTTTGTATATCAATGCAGTCAGAATAGTTTTATAGACTGGCTATAGTGCCTGATGAAAGGTTAGTGCATTTACGTTTCTGTGTTTAGTATTGTATATTTCAGATGAACAAAGTTGGTATGACCCGTTGCTCTGTTTGTTATAACTGCAGTATAGTGCACACAGGGCCACTGAGTTAGTATTGCTGAAAAGGACCAGAGAAAACCACAGGCTTGTGTTAAAGACAGCCAGTGTGGCCCAGCTCCGAGGTGGCCTCTAGAGAATCAGTGTCTGTCAGCGTTTGCTTATATTTCAGCCAAAAAACATAATGGGATGATTAATGCAAGCGGTATTCACTTTGTAAAGGAAGGAGTAAATCATGACTCTTTTCTCTTAGTGAAAATAATTCTCTGCAGCAGTGACATTTAAATATGCCATTACTACTTTATGCATTTAGTAACGGTTCAGCAAACAGTCTCAAATAATTCTTTTTTTGTGTAATGAAAACAGGTTTATTGTAATATTCATAAGATACTGCTTTGACTACTTCAAAGAAACAGAATAAAAGGAGGGTCTGTTACATCTGGAAGACAAATGTGTCAAAGCTGCATTAATTCCTTTAATGTTAACCATTGACCCATTACAATATGTAAAGTTAAAAATGGTGCCAACAGTGAAGAAACCACTAAGAATCACCCCTAGTTTCTACAGCTTCCATCAATTATACCAAACATTTTAGCCTCTTGGAGCTAATTGTTGAGTTTCTAACAGCCTGAAGCATTTTTTACTTGGTTCACTCCCAGCAAACCCATTTCCAGCTCTTAAAAACCCACTACATGCACGGCAACAAAGGCAGACATAGTTAGCAACTAGCTGGCAAACAAAGTTGGGTTTTAGCATCTTTAAATACAGATATTTCCCTCAGGAGCAAATGGAAATTGAATTAAAGCCCAAAGGAAAGTGAATATTGGATTAACATTCAACAAGCAAGCACAAAACAACTCTAAAGTTAAATATTAATTCTGTTGTATGGACAAATGTGCAACTAGTTGCTAAGAAATCTATGCACACATAATAGTTTGTCAATGTTAAATGTTAAATTAGTTAGGTTGGATGCCCTCTACATAAAAAGTGAAGCAGGACTAAAGGCTTGAAGATTCAGTTAACAGGCAGTGCTTGCTAACATTAGCAGTAACGTAATGGCTTAGCAAACAGTAAGTTAGTCAGTTTGACTTATTTGACCTTGTGTTTGTTTGTCTATGAAGGTTTATCAGTCAAAATTATATTGATAAATTGTAACGTTAGTACAGTACTGTAAGACGAAGACTTTCTTTTAATTTGTAAGTGTCTTTATTAGCAATAGAGCTCCAGATTTTCTAAAGGTCTTTTAGTTTTTCTCTTGACGTTAGCTGCTGATTCAGTCCCGTCCTTGTACCTGACATTTTCAGAGGAATGTTTCGGGTTTTTTATTTTACTTACTTGTTTACCACTTAACACTGATAAATGAATCATTCAAGCACAAAAACTCATCTAATTCAAGGGATGAATCAGTGTTGTGTCTACACATAATGGACAACTTAGCAAAGAACAGTAAAGTTTGTTACTAAAAGCTTGTCACAAGCACACAATTTGTTCCCATTTTTTTTAGCTGATCCTACAAAAGTGCCGAGGATAACAAAATCTAAGGGGCATAAAATTTTATTTTTGTACCAACAGGGTAGATTCCCAGAAATATATTAGCCTGAAAATTGACATATCTCAGCATTATGGATGAAAGCAAATGTGCCAGATGAACATTATCTAAAAGTCATGTTCTTAAGAAACTGGAAAAACCTGAAACAGGGTCAGACGGATGCATCTCACCCCCTTCATTGAAGCCTCAACAGAAAATGTTTCAGTGGAGAGCTCAAAAAGTCATTCTTAAGGAAGGAAAGGGGAAAGAAAAGACTTAGACATGCCAAATTATGCAAGAATTAAACTGAAAATCAATGGCAACGGGTTTTAGGGGGTGATTAATCTTGTCAAAACTGATGAAATTATGAAAACAGATGCTTTAATTTCTTTCTCAACACGTGAATAATACCAAACATTTTACCAATGCTATTAGCAAACCTGAATAGAAAAACAATATAATCAGTAAATTGCTGCACTTCCTTTCCATTATCCTAGTAAAGTATAAAGAAATTTGTTGCACTTTTACATAGTACTGCATGTAATGTATATAAACACTTATGTGAAAGCAGTTGCTTTTGGTGATGAGCTAATATTGCACTCAAGAACAGTCTCTCTCACTTGTTCAGAGCATTTAAGCATTTTTGAGCTCGGTATAGAGTTTTGCAATTTGCTGTCACTTCTTTTAAGAAATTTGTTTCTAGACACAGCAGAAGGGTGTTTTACGCAAGAAACATTTAATAAACCCACTGTGAAGAAACAGGCATAGTTAGCTGCTAACAAGCGAACGTAAACCTTGAGTGCTTCTGAATGTAATGCTTCGGTCTCAAGAGAATTAATGATATTGTCCAGGAGAAATTCTCAGGAGAAATTTTGCTGCCTACTGTTTTAGTGCTCTGTCTCTGTGTTTGAAAGGATGATAACATGGCTAACTGTGATCTAGGTATGGCCTGAGAAAGGAGGAAGCGGAGTCCTACGTTCTCTGTGACACCATTGGTTCCATTAGTAATCATCCGTGGAGAACAGAAGGTTTCCGAGTACTGGGCGACCATGAAAAACCCCTCCTCCTGCAGTCGCTGTGGAAACCCAGAGATGGTTTGGCAAGACGATTCGAAATCCAGAAGAGAAGTTCAGTAGAGGAGAAGACATCCAAAGAGAAGGATACCATCACTGCTGGTACGCTATAGCCACAGGGCAATAAGGAGTTATCGCTGCACACTATACCACATCCTGAACCAGGGTGCATGCCCTGGAATAGGAGTCTTCACCAGTAAATGAAGCATTGTCAGTGTTAAGCCCAGTTTTAAAGTTCTCACAGTAAAAATGTGGTTTGTTGGCACGTTGTTGTTCCAGTGAAAGTAGGCCAAGCCACATAGGCCAAGCTATATTTTAATAGGTCTACTATTTCTTTTTTTCCTTTCTTTTCAATTTCTGCTGCAAATTTGGGGATCACATTTGCTCTCAGTTCCATTAAAATGTTCTTTAAAACTTTAAATGTAATTGATGTCGCAGACACACTTGTTTAATTAGATTTCTTCCAGTGACACACCCTATCTTTTGTACTTCACTGCTTGCTGCATAATGCTGTAAAAGATTTACACTGCGACAATATCTAATTGGCCTTACAAGGCATGATGTGATAGAAGAAAAACACCAGAACTTTCCACAGATACCTGACACAAACACTCCGTGGTACTGTAACAGCACTGGCTGGACTATTTTCTACAATCATTTCTACTAAGGGCCCCAGCTGTGGTTGACACAGCTGTGTTCGTAGTGTAAGACTGTGTCCTGTTATGTGTTTTGCTTTTATGAATGGCACAGCTTGTGATGGCCTTCTATCGGTGTCAGCTTGTAGATGCCTGCTGCGGGGGTGACGTTTTTTCTTCTTTTTTTCCATGAGCTCTGTCTTTCTTTCCACTGAGGTCTGTTTCCTGTATGGTGCTTCTGTGTTCATCCTGGCATAAACACACCATGGACAAATGACCGAGGCTCACACACACCTCACCTTGCTTCAGGAAGAAAAAAAAAGGGTGTTGCTCTATCACCACATTCCATTAGCCCTGAGCTCTGTATATTTTTACTGCAGCTCAGTTTGGATGTAGTTACAACGCTATTCCCAGCTCTCTTATTTGTTTATTCATCTCCCTCTCAGGTATCAATGCTCAGGCTCGTAAGCTGCAGAAGAGCCGCTCCAGAGTGACCTCCACCCTCATAGAGAAAACCATGAGCCGGAGCCAGAAACTGTGGAGGAGCAAAAGTGAGATGGACCTCTTAGAGACCAAACACGACACAGATCACGAAAAACGTGTCAAGGATGAAAGCGAGTGCCCGAATCAAACGTCAGTGCAAAGCTTTGAGCATCCAGAACAGAATCACATTCACAGCCTTGCAGCTCCCTCAGAGGGGGCCAAAACAGAGAACCTCTGTCCGTCAAGGCCGAGAGGCGAGCAGGAAGTAGAGGAGTCGGAGAGGGAGGAGACAGAGAGCAGCGACGATAACACCACACAGTACTCTATTCACCCTCCTCACGACTGTCCATACCTGCTACTGCTGCAGGGCTACAACCCCGCGCAGGTATCATATCCAAACACACGGTCTGCATCTGACCCCGAAAAGCAGTTTTCCAATCATATGTCAGCAGCAGTAGGAAACAGCAATGCCTGTCAGTGCTTTGGCTTTTTATACATGTTCGAGTGTTGAAATCGTCCATTTAAAGAGTTTAGTAGCGGGTGAGTGGTGTTTTTATATGATAAAAAAAACTAAAAAGACAATAGTGTACGTTTAGGGAATGGTCTATCTGATGTCAGTTTTATTTTTTCTGGCAATTTGCCTCTTCGGCCAATAGGACAAGACAGGAAACATGCAGAAAGTGATAATCAAACTGAAAAACTTTTGGTTACACTGTGTACTTTAGCTACTGTTTTATTTACCTCACCTTCAGAACCTTCAGCAACAACCAGGTCATTATTTATATGATCGCACTAAAAAGATGTAAACTAGCAGTGTATTTTACAGTGTCATTGCATTAGCATTACTGATGCACACAAGCTGAATTGGCATTAAAGTGTCATGACAATTCAGCTATTACATAAAGTTTATCTTTATAGTTAAGTAATCAATGCTTTAAAAGTTTCCCGGGGATAAAATTGTGAATTGTGCTCATGAAAGGTGAATCCCAAACTATATTTCAAGTTATTGTTACCACTTAACTTTGATGTCCTCTACTGCTACTGCCAGAGCTCCCTCATTTATTTGTTCTAAAAAGTTGCAATAGCTATCATATTATGTTTACAGAACCAGCAGCATAACAGTACACTACATACAGACCTAAAAAGTGTGTATGTTCAACATTTTAAAAAAATGGTCCTGTTCATAATAACTACACATGTGTTTTTACTTACTGTGTGGAAGTTTGTCCCGGATGCTTAGTTTGGGTAACACTACCAACTGTTCACTCCCACAAAAGAAACAAAAACAAAAAATAATGGCAGACAACAGTTTTGGCAAACTCATTTGGTTATTTCCCTTAAATTTTCTTCTTAGGCTTTGCCACTGCTGATCATCTGCATCTGTTTGGGACTTGACCAATCTGCATTATTTTTATCCATATGCATGGCAAAGATGTAACACTCCTCATTTATCCTGGTCCTGGACCAGCATGATCACTACATTGACCCCCCCAAAGGGGCTCACCTCACACTTCCTAAATATAGCCTGTATGTATAAGATGGACAAGGCCACTGTGAGGTCACCCATTGGTTAGTGAGGTCTCATTCTGAAGCCTCAAGCAAAGCATTTTTCTTGTGTCCCTCTTGGAGCTTAAACCAGACAATTCATTTCGCTTTATATTGTAAGGTAGACCCTACAATAATACATATAGAGAAAAACCCAACAATCATATGACCCCCTATGAGCAAGCACTTTGGCGACAGTGGGAAGGAAAAACTCCCTTTTAACAGGAAGAAACCTCCAGCAGAACCAGGCTCAGGGAGGGGCGGCCATCTGCTGTGACTGATTGGGGTGAGAGAAGGAAGACAGGATAAAGACATGCTGTGGAAGAGAGACAGATAAATAACAACTATAATTCAGTTGAGAGAGGTCTGTTAACACACAGTGAGTCAAGCCAGTAAAGAACTGTTAGGTAAATGTTTGGCAAGCTTCTCAAACCCTGTAATGTTAACATCTTAAGATGTTTTGAATGGTAACACTTTCTAGGATTAGGATTAGGAAACTATACTTTTTTGCAGTTGGCCAGAATGGATCTTAACATTTTATCTTGTACTCATAGTTACATTTTCACTATAACAATGATTCTGTTTCCAGTGTTGGGGGTAACGGAATACATGTACCGGCATTACGTATTTAAAATACAAAATATGAGTAACTGTATTCCATTACAGTTACTGTTTAAAAAGGTGGTTATCAGAGTACAGTTACTTTGCGAAATAAAGGGATTACACTGCGATCTTTTCCTGCTTCATATGTTAGGCTATGCCCTCTCTAGTTTTGGTAATTCCACGCCGGTGGAAATGCAAACAAAACACACATTGAGAGGCTCTAATGTCTATGTCTCAATCTCGGGGCCCATGCCACCTCTACTTGCGGCCCGCATAATGACGTGAAGAAATATTTTTTTAAAGTATTAGTCAAAAAATTATTTAATATGAAGGCAATAGGCAGAGTGTTACAGCCATAGCATGTATGGAACATGTAAATATAATAATAACCACTGCAGCCAAAAAGAGTGCCTGACGAGCCCAGTTGTAAGTAAGCTATTTAGACTCGACTGTACACTGTGTTCGTGTTTTCCTCCAAAACAATAACTTCCGTTGGAGCAGCCTTTCAACGCCTCGCTCTGTCTCTCGTTAGCAAAGTTGACCCAGACAACAAAGTAAAGCTAGTTTTCGGCTACGAGCCCGACATATTAGCCAAAGGTCTCTTTACTACGGTTCGCAGCCGCGGGCCTGTTTTATTTACGCGCCGAGTAATTTTCTATACGAAATCGCTGCATAAAGTGCAGCCTCAACTAATGTCCACCCTACTGTTACTCATTTTATATTAAGAGTATTCTGAATCCAAAGCATTCAGAATACGTTACTCTCATTGAGTAACACAATGGAATACGTTGCTGTGTCTTTTATGTCAACTGCTGAGCATGCTAACTTTTGACTGGAATAGGCAGTTTTAGCTTCAGTCTTTTAGCACCATGCAGTTTTCACCAGACAATTTAATGCGTTGTTAAGTTGAAATGCATTTATATAAAATTCATAGAACGAGAACTTGCTTTATCAGTTAGCTAGGTAGATTCTACACTTACAAACCGCTATAGTCAGTCAGTAGCTCTGCCTCTGTTAGCTAAAACGATGAGGTATAATTGTTGGGCAAGACTCAGCTAACGATAAATTTAGACTGCTCTACAGTTTTAGCTGCATGTACGTTGTTTTCAGCTTCTTTAAAAAATATTTCCATATGCAAACCATTACATTTTAAAGTATAGTGTTACATGTGCTGTAAAATCCATTGTTTTCTTAAGTGAAAGTGAGAGGCAGCGGAAAGAATCATTATTGTGAAGGTCAGTGAACAGCACGTAGAAAAACTGTCAGTATAAAAACACTGTTCAGGAAACAGAAGAAGACAAGCCTGGCACTGCTTCCTGACTGATTACCAGTGGTTTTTTAACGGTGGCCAACAGCCGCACACATGCAGGCACACACACACATACACAGATTCTGCAGTGCTTTAGCTCTGCGTCACAGCTCTTTCCCAAAATACCCTTCATAAGAATATAATCATGTACACCCAAGATATACTATTATAAAGGTTTAAAGAGTTTATTTGTGCATTAATTCAGCTTTAATCTGTCCAGTTGGAAAACACAAGCATCACAAGGGGAATGTCAAACATAATAATCTCTACACACTATGCTTGCCACTCAACTGGGGCTAATAAAACATTGTTTGTCTAATCAGGCTTGGATCTAGATTTTAATTCCAGTACCTCCACATGATCAGACTGCTAAGCTTTGTTTGAGGGAGACTGTTACATAGCTGATGGTGGACTGACGTAATGCACTAAATTCAATCTTTCTTTTTGTTAGTGATTAACAAAAGGGCTAAAGTGTGTCGTTGTGTCTCCAGATCACAGCAGTATCCATAAAATGAACTCAAGCATTACAAAAGCACTCATTACTCAGATTTGAGCCTTTTTTTAATAACATTTTTTACTTCTTTACAGACCAAACAAAGTCAAATAGATGCAGTCTGTTAACATGTTGCAGATATGTTGCTGATTAACCACAAACTGTGTATATAAGATCGGTGTAGCCGACTTCACGTTAACCTTTGGTTTGTGAAGTTTGCAGCATGTGTCAGATCAGCATCATTAACTCAGTAATGCTACCACATGAACATAATGGCAGTTAGCTCAGTGGACACAAATGTGTGAGGTTTGAAGTGTGTGCTTTTCTTTCTTCTGCTCATAATTTTCTCAAGATTTTTTTTAATTGTTGTTTTTTTCCACTGTCTATATAATTGGCAAATAGACAGAAGAAAATGATTCTTGAATACAAACCTATTACTAGAAAGTCTAACAAGGACATTCAGGCGCTATTTAAGAAGCACCTTGAGCTGATGACAGAGTAACATCTGCAACATCTGTTCAACTTTAATTTTGACGCTATTCTTCAACCGCAACTAGACTGCTGCTGGCTCTTCAGTGATTGATATGCTTTCTTAAACTTGGGCAATCAGAATATGTATTTTTTCTTTTTTATTAAAGGTACAGTGTGTAAAATCTTTTCTTATCCCTCCAAATTCCCACAGGAGCGCTCGCTGCCATGTATTTTTAATGAATTCATTCTGAGTTTGTGAGAATGCATCAGTTTTTTAGAAGATGTACATATACACTAATCAATGTATATTTATGAGTACAACTGTCTTTTTTTCTACTAAATAATGTCAAAAGATTACTTACTGTACCTTTAAATTGTGCTCCCAAGTCTCTGCAATCAAGGTACACAGAAATTAATCAGACAAAAATAAAAAAAATATATCAGTTTTTACCTTCTCTAAAATATAGGTTTAGCGTTAGCATTAATAGTAGTGTTCCACCTACGGTGACTTAGACCTCAGAGGTCTGTCTGGAATGTCTATGGCATTCACACCAGTAGCAATTTGCTTTATTGCTGATGGTTGGTTGATAGCGGACATTCCAGACTTCGATTGCCTGGATAACTGGATAACCCTCAAATATATTTACAATCCTGTCATATGGTAATTAAAATATGGTTTGAGCTCAGTGACAGTCACTTCCGTTGCTCGCCTCAAAGTTCAGAAAAGTTGAACCCTACTGAAGTCACTGAATGTCACAGATTTTGTGTCAGCACAGATTTCCATGTTGGCATTGCCTGTGTGGACACACCTTTCTGTTACTAAATGCATTTTTTTACCACTGTTTTTACTCAGGTACAGCATGCTAGCATTCACTGTGCAGACACTTGTCATTGAATTGTATTAAGCAGATCTTTGCATTCTTGTTTTTTAGCTTTCCTACTATGACTAAATCCTCTTCAGGCAACCATTCATAGGCTATATTAGAAGTATTGGAACCTGTCACTGGATCATTGTGCATGTTCTGATTTGAACCAAAACTATGATCCATTCTAAAGCTTTTGGTGCTTAAACACAGCATGTCTTTATACTGTCTTCCTTCTCTCACCTGAACCGGTCACCATCTTAACCAGGCTCATGGAGGGGGGGCCCCTCCATGAGCCTGGTTAAGATGGAGGTTTCTTCCTGTTAAAAGGGAGTTTTTAGTTCCCACTGTTGCCAAAGTGCTTGCTCATAGGGGGTCATATGATTGTTAGGTTTTTCTCTGTATGTATTATTGTAGGGTCTACCTTACAATACAGAGCGCCTTGAGGCGACCGTTGTTGTGATTTGGGGCTGTATGAATAAAATTGAATAGAATTGAATTAAACCAAGTAGATCTGGAAGTTAAATGTAATCAAAGAAGCAGGTAAAACCAAAACAATAATACCAAAGTAAAAAAAAATAAAAATCTGACATGGGAGGTCAGGTAATCATAATGCTTCTTTATATACTAAAAGAAATTCTTTGAGCATGCCTGAACAAAGCACCAGCAGACAACGGCACTGTACAGAGTGGAATACATTTGAGAGAAGATGAGATATAGTGAACTCTTGGTGATTGTTTGGTAACTTGTCATTTATTTCTTCACTCAGGACTTTGTCATCTACCTCCTTGCCAGCCCAAATATTGTTGTTGGTCAACAAAGCGGTCACAAGGAAGGGTCAAAGGCTGATATCCTTCTCTTTGCCGCTGATATTCTTCCAAGACACTGCTACTTCCTTCGCCACAGCGCCGTTGCACCCACCGTTCTCTGCACGTGTCAGGATGCCGTGGTCACTAAGAATGGAAAAGGGCTGAGAAATGAGGAACCGCTTTGCTCTGGTGACATTATTGGGTTGGGACAGCACTACTTGTTTCTTTTTAAAGACCCTCTAGCTTCAATGCACAAGGTAACGGCAGATTACCTTCACAAGAACCAAAATCTTTTACTTTTAATCAATTTGGATTTTTTCTTAAGTGCAAATCCTGCTTCATGTTTCATGTTTCTTGTTTCTTTCTGGAAAATAAAGGAAGTGATCAGTGATGCTCTTGAACCCAGCCTGTCTGCCGCCTCCTGGACTCTAGGTCACACCACCTCTGCAACTACAAGCGAAAAGATCCTCTGTAGCACCTGCATCACCTACCAGAGCCCAAACTGCAAACTGCCCTTGAGCGGAGGGCCTCCATTTCTAAAATCACCTGAGGGCCACAGTCTGACTCTTAGCTATGCAGCTGAAGACGAGGACATTATTGTGAAGGAGATTGTTGCTATGGGGAGCAGTAGCAGCATCAGTGGTAGACCACCATTGACTGTTGCATTCCTGTTGTGCATGTGTGTTCAGTATTCATCAGTTTGTCTTCAAACGTCAGACCTACGCAGGCTTCTGCTGCGTATTGCAAGTGGAGTTCAGAGTGCCATGTGGGTGAGTTGTAGTAACAGACATATAAGGAGCTCTGCCACATTTTAAAGTGGAGCATAACAACAACAAGCAAAAAAAGTTGCTTCAGATGTGTTCAATGTCAGGAAATCAGAGATTTCATGTTTAAAAAAGGATGTGCACAGGTTAATATTTAAAGAGATCCATAGCTGGTCGCCATGATGTGCTTACACAGTCTTTTTCAATCATCTGCTTCACTGCTAACCAAAGGAGAGGTCACTTTCAAGTGTTGCTGAGTGCATCCAGCACGAGCACACCGAGACCAAAGAGAAAATGTCTGCAGGGAGAAAATCAGGCTTAAAATTCTGTTCCAAAAGTTAATTTCCCAAAGCAGAACTTTCTTCAGGGAATCATTTCTTAGGAACTCAAACTGCTGTTCACTGTAGCAACCAAGGACTGAATTACTAAATTAAGTTACTATCTGAAGAACAGAGAAATACTGTGTTATATCCCCCAGATGGCTCTGGCTTACAATTTTACCTATTGCTATTTTAAGTCACTCCAAAACTTTTAATCTTGTCGTGCAGGAGCAGACCAAGGAGCTGGCTGCAGTTCAGCCTGAAGTGTAAGCAGAGCTTTCTTTATTTCCCCGACACTAATTATATTACAGTTCACAGAGAACACTGCACAGCTTTCCTCCTGTGTTGCAGTCTCAGGTGCGAAGGTTCAAACCCAGAAGACCCCACTCTTCTCTGCCTTCAAGAGCTGATCCCTGGACTGCACCCCCTAGTGGTGTGGATGTCAAACAGCCTGGAGCTGCTGCAGCTCATTCAGCACCAGCTGCCTCTTATTCTGGAGTGGAGAGCCCGAGAAGAGGAGGAACAAAAGGAGGAACCAGAGAGGGAAGATGATGAGAGCAAGGAAGTAAAGAACCTGGGTTAGTTGTTTAGGTGCTGTAGAGAGCATGTAACCATGATAATAATGAAAGAGGAGCTATTCTGCTTGTTTCCAACTCCGGATTTTTATTCTTGATCTCTGCTGGCATAATTTAAAATTCATCATATTCCTTATTTATCTTATGCTGGGCAGTAGTGCAACCAAACAGTGTAACATTATAAAGCACAGTCCACATTAACAACCATATGATTACATGACATTTATGCGTTTCTGAATGTATACCTTTCAGTATTGTTAGAGCTTCTGATGTCCTGCGTCCGTTCAGCCAGCGAAGAGACGATAGCTGTCCTAGAGGAGGTCATCATGCTCGCCTTTCAGCAGTGTGTGTACTACTTCACTAAGGTAACAGACTACTATCAAGGAAGTGACTCAGTGGTGCGGTTTACAAATTGCTGATTACATATGTCCTTGGTTTAACTGGAAGGAAACGATCTGACCTGCATAGACAACTTGTAGATCATCTGGTCCACCCATTGCAAATGGCTGAGAATAAAGAGCTTAGTTAGCATTCCAATAGCTTTCTAGCAGACAGAGCAGCAATGCTGCCAGACCACACTGAGTGCATTGTGACATGGGAGAGAGGCGGGACACCAAGGGCCTTTTTGTGTGTGTGTGTGTGTGTGTGTGTGTGTGTGTGTTAGCAAGGAACCATTTCTTTCAACTTTTTATTTGTAGAGAAAGGACTTTGTGCACATATTCTCATGCTAACAAAGTTTCAAATGTCTGTATGATGTGACAGTTGTACTAATGAAGTAATGAAGACCTACTTTTTTTGCACCCTTTTAGCTTCTTTTTTTTTTTGGTTTTCAAGCTTTGTAGCTTTTCTCTTCTTTTTTTACTCTTTCTTTCTTCCTTCTTAGTTTGGATGTTTCTTGCCAGTGAAAACAAACTGTATTCCAGTAAGTTAGCACCTTGTTAGTAAACTATGATTCCACCTTGAGCAATAAAAAGGCCAGGTTTCCCAAAGGCAAAAAAAAGAATTATTAATTCAAATATACAAGTGAAATGTCTGTATTGGTATATGGTTGTCTAATTTTTCTAGAAGTTTAAGAGTTAGTCAAGCTCCTTTCCATTATTTATGCTAAGCTAGGCTAGTTGTCTCCTTGTTCTAGGGCCAATTTTAGTTCCTAGACTAAAGACTGATGTTCATACTTATCTCACAGTAGGAAAACTAGTAAGCACATTTTGCCAAGTTCCTGACACTAAAGGTAAATCATTTACAGTTCTTACTCTGTATGTTTGTATTGATTTATGTTGTGCTTTATTCACACAGTGTTCCTTGGGAAAAGAGAAAAAACATATTTTATTGTAGCCACAGTATCCAGTTGTGCACTTTCACTAAAGCGCCACACCCATGGAGCTCTGCCCAGGAAAGTTTCAGACAAATTTCCAGTTAAGTGTGTGGGTGAAAATAGCATCCAAAAAAAATTAATCAGGAGACTGTCCTATTTTGGAGTCATACAGTTACATCTTTAAGCTGATAGTTGATATGGAAGTCTCCTCTTCCAGTTACCGTGACGCTTCAAACGAACAATGCAGATTTAAAGAGTTCTGTCTTTTCAAGTATTAGGCCACATCCAAGACATCATTAGCAAATGGCATTAGCCAGCCTGACATGCTGACATGTTAAAGATAGAAAAACAGAGGTCTCACATCAATTCTGGCAGCTGCAATTTTCTTTTCTTAAACAGTTTTCCTGTGAAGGAAGGAACTCAGTAATATGACCCTGGTTCTTTAAAGAGGAAAAGTGTTGGAGGATATGGTCTAGATACCTGCCTACAGATAGTAATTTCTAACATGATGCATAATTTTACCTTTTAGAAAATTTAATTTGTTCACCTTAACTTCTCTCCTGCACCGTTTTGCTTATAAAATACTTTATTGGAGTATTCTGTTCTGCTGGAGGTCTCTTCCTGTTAAAAGGGAGTTTTTCCTTCCCACTGTCACCAAAGTGCTTGCTCATAGGGAGTCATATGATTGTTGGGTTTTTCTCTGTATGTATTATTGTAGGGTCTACCTTACAATATAAAACGCCTTGAGACAACTGTTGTTGTGATTTGGTGCTGTATAAATAAAATTGAATTGACTTGAATTAAACCACGTAGATCTTATTTTAACTGAATGTAGCTTTTAAAACTTTATTTTATTGTAATCTATTCTATGAATCGTTCATGAGCCAAGGATGGGTTAATGTGAGGTATTATTTGTGCTGCATAATCTTGATTACTAGACAAAAGAGAAGAGGATAAAGTTATTTCTCTGCTGTTTGGGCAGATTGAACGCGCTTTCTTCTCACATAGTCTTCTTTGATTTTTGCTTTTTTCTGTTCTTGTCCTGTTAATCCAGGCATGTTTTGTCATCCATCATGAACGCCACAACTTAGAAAGCTCAGAGCCATGAGGCCTGTGGTGTGACCACTGTTAGTCTACAGTAGCGTTTTATGTAGTGTAGCTTGTCTGAGGCAGTATAAAGTTATATTAAATCCTGACAGGTTGCTCCACAAGGTGACCCAGGAAAAACCTCTTGTTCGATAACATTATAACTCCTCCTAGATCACAGCAAATTCAGCTTTAAATCTCAGCAGACATGCTAAAAGTTTCTTAAATCTCTGTTTATTTAGGAGTTTTTCATGGCTTTCCATCTGATGTGAGGGTTATTGCTGCGGGATGGAAAACAAAAGGCGCCACTGGTGAGCAGCTATTGTAGCTGAAGACATGTCGTGATGAATAAAGGCGCACTTTAACAGGCTTGTGGGCAGACTGCGTGTTTACGTGTTCGTCACAATGAATGCAGTTTTATGTTTTTTTACCCCAGGCTAATACGTGCCATGGATGCATGTGGTAATCCCAGAATCCAGTGCTGCTGAGTGAATAAATCCTCTCTGCCCTGATTCCACTGAGAGATATTTTCCAACCAGCAACATTTGCAAGATTATTTGCTTTATTGTTCAGCCATTTCCAGCGTCTTATGTGCAGTGGGATCCGTGGTCGTTACGTTCTCCTGTTCATGTTCGGCCTTTCCTAGCTGCAGAGCGTTATAGTGAAGGTAAACTGATCTCCTCAGGGTGGATTGCTTCAAAACCCTTCACTCAGCAGTTCTTTTTGCAGTGCAATGCCAAGCCCACACGAGCCATATTCAGCTTTTTAGGAATGTGATCTATGGCTGGAGTTGGCCTCGGATGCTTGGTGGGTCTAAGAGTGAGATCGGAGAGGAAGGGAGATGTCTGTGTACAATTAGCCTGAACAAAGCGGCCGTTGTCCGGGCTCGCCCTGAAGAACACCAAGGGCCTTTCACTGAAAGGAAGGAAATGTTAAAAACTGTCTTTTTTATTTCTGCGAGCACTGGTTGGGTCTACCCAGTCTTCTATCAGCTATGTTATAGTGTGAGACAGACACGCCAGGAAATTGTGGGTGGTCTGAATTCTAGGTTAGGGGGTTACGTGTTTTATTTTATCCTGCTAATCAGAACATACACCACACAAAGTTAACTTTTCCAACCTCAAATTGACCCACAGGAATTATCAACAATTGCCAGCTCCACATCAAAACTGAGTGACTCTAAGCTGCACATTTGTTTTCTGTCTCACAAGGTCCTTTACCCACTCCTGCCAGGACTTTTGGATTGCAATCCGTTCAGGGAAAATTCTGACCTGAGTACAGCCAGTGAAAGCGCTCAGGTCCTGGGTAGCGGAGGACTGCAGGTCCCTGGGGAGATCCAGCAGGTGGTGGAGGTTTTGACCGAGTGCCTGACACTAGTCTCCGACTGCCAGGTTCACCCGGAGATTTCCTCTCAGCTCATCAGCTACCTCTTCTACTTCATCAATGCATCACTCTTCAACTCACTCATGGAGAGAGGTACGCTGGTTGCTTGGGGTGTTCCAGTGTCTGTATCATAGACTATATTAAAGATGGATGTAGCCACTGTTTGCTGCATTAACCTTTGAGAGGTTTTTTTAGGCAAGGTGACCATATTTGGATAAGAGAAAGGAATGCTCAGTGACGAGTTAGAAAAGTGCATTCATAGGCTGCATCAGTCTAACCCACAGACAAAGATACCTAATAATTAATATTAGCACATAAATAGCACTAAATAAAAGAAGCACAAACCCCTTAGATATTTAGATATATTTGGATAACCTGGAAACTGGTACATTCTTGTTCAGTCTATTATCAGGATAACTAATGTCAAATACTTTGAAGCATTTTCTAAATCACGCTTGAATTTCAAATGCCACTAGAACATAAAAAAACCTGCATGTACAGAATTACTGGTCAAATTTGCAACGTCTGGTTAGCCAGTTACGACCTTTAACCCTCTGAGGTTTAAAGCCTGATTTAGACTTCTGTGCTGAATCTTTGTAGAAGCTACAATGTAACCTATCTACTGTAAGTCAGCAACACTGTTACCAGCATTTATGTGGGTGCTTGTGGGAATGCTGGGAATTTTTTCCCTCCTGGGTCCCCACTATGTGTTGTGGTCAGATTTTTTTAGGGGCAAACATATTTGTCCGTCAAGTTTTTCCACATCATTGTACATTCCCTCACATCCATTCCCGTAGTTTCATCAATCTCGCTTCAGGAACTTGCTGACATTTGTGACTCCTTGTGCTGATGCTGCGATTATTATTCCTTATATTGACAATGACTGTTACCCTTGCACTGATGAATTCAAAATCTGCAGTGAAACAGTAGCATAGGTCGAATCGATGATACAGAACAGGCCAATCACAGTCGCTGCGGGTTGCCTGAACGCAGCTTGTCGTTAAATTTATAGAGAAGTGCACGTCCAATTACGCCGTAAGCTGCCTGCAGTGTTTCACAGGGGTTTGTGGTTAATAATTATGTAAGTAAGTAAAGTTTACTTACAGGGTACTTTTTTTAGACAAAAACAGGTCACAAATTACTTTGCAGAGATATTAAAAAACAAGGTCAAAATGAACACACCTTAGTCATGAGGATAACACAAAACACAAAAACAGTAGAGCACTATCTAATTATAATTACAGTATGTCGTTATGTTTTTATTTATTTACTCTGCAAAGTCTCTGCTTTCAGGGAACCAATTATTCCAACCGACGCAGACCAAAAACTATGTTTTAAGAAAAAACTGTTTACTACAAGCACGTCACACCACAGACATCACACCAGTTTAGGATTAACATAACGTCCATGCTGATGGATGTCAAGATCCCCGATTGTGCTTCGGTAAGAAGCACAATTTGGTTTGTGGTGTGATGCACACGTAGTAACCTGTTATGTTGTAAACTGTTTGGCTGTGCTTGGAAAAGAAAGACAAATTTACTGCATAAAATATCGTAACTTGCGGACCTCTGCTTTGCCAGCTGATTGCTTGGTTTCGGACACCAGCTTTTCAGTCTGGTAACTCAAGCAGGCTCTCCTCCACACAGTCCTCATTTATAAAGTGCTTGGACCCCAAACGTTATAGCTGGCAGGTGGATTTTCCAATTTCAGTACAGGTAGCTAAACAAGGAAATCCACTTACTGCTTAAGAGACAGAGACTGAAAGTGGACACTATATCTTTGGTTGCTTAGAATAAAACTCATTGTTGTAGACAGAGGCAGCACAAAAGTAACCCCCCTTAGACTGCCTTTTCTCCTTGATTTTCACTGGGTTATTGGTTCTGTCACTAGTTAGTTAACTTAAACTTAAAAATGTCTGTGAGCTGCAACCAACCAACCCGGTGACGTTATGTTCTGTACTGGCACAAGATGGCGCTAAACATGTTCTAAAAACTATTAAGGCTTATTTCTTAAATCCAGCCTTACAGACTGTGTTAAACATATGGCAGCTTTTAAAAGCAGGGCTCCATAGTGTAAATTAGCCTTTATACATGTAGAGTGTTAAAGTCTGGAACATTTTTTTCTTGACATGCATTAAATGACCTTAGAGAAATCTCAGTAGCTTTCACTTTTTATCCAAATCACAAAATCTTTTAGTAGTTTCACATAGTTGCCTTCAAGCTCTTTCAACACATTTTTGCTGGTTCGAGCGTCGTCTTTCCTGATAGTCTCAGCTGACAAGTAGTAAAAAGGGAGGTGGATCATTTTATAGGTCAGCAGAATCATTTCACCTTTTCAGGTCTTCACAGTTTATACCACGACTACTTCTCAGTCTTTCGTCTACTAGTGAATTATCCTCATCAGTCACAAGAAGATCAGATTGTTACTATTAAATGGGAAAACTGTGTGAGTGTTCTGCCCTAACTTTGTAATAACATTTACACTGAGTCACATTTGTCATGAATTTCTTTGCACTTCATCTTTTCTTCTATACTGGCACAGAGATTGTGATGCATCATGTATGGCTTAAACCTACAGCGTGTTTGGCATCTTTTCCCGTATATCTCTTGGCTCATAATTAAGTTCTTAAGGCCTGAAAGTTTATGTACTAACAGAAGTTACATTTAGCTGCAACTGCCCTGCCCTCTAGTGGCCATCAAGAGATTTAGCAGTGGCTGCAGAACTTGTTCACTTGTCTCCTTTGTATTTCTTCTGAAGTATGAAGGTGCCGACTTAAACCTAAGTGCTTCTACTGTGGGAAATTAACAATATGCAATAAAGACAGCAGTCGTCTGTTTCTTATAATTCAACAAACAAATGAAAGAGCTAAACATACCCAACTGTAATAACCACAAATCAATAGGTTACAGCAGGTTTTTACCAACATAAAGAGAAGTTGAGTTTTCTACATTTTCAGTTATCATATTGGCTAAAATATAACCATGTGTGTAAGTAATTAATACAAGAGTTTAAAAAAACATTTTAAAAGAATCATATAACAAACTCATTAAACCTTCTAAATAACCCTACCCCCCAAACAAGTGGGAGAGGTTGACAGGGATGTCAAAGGTCCTTAAACTATCAGCAGGACCGATACCTGCTCCTTTGTGGAAGGAGGAACAGCAGGAGCACTGCAAGAACTACAAAATGACCTCCACCATGTTGCATCTCACACTGTCCAGGGGCTCAGTGATGCCCAAGTCCAGAACTGGAAGGAGATCCCCCAGGACACCATCTTCAGCTCATTAGGAGGATGCCCCAATTCTGAGCTGTGCATATATAGTTGGGAGACTAATATCTAAACTTACTGTACATTATACATTAGTACATAAAACATGTTTAATACTGTTGTGCACACAGGATCTGAGCCAGGGTTCTATCAGTGGTCCAGAGGTGTGCGAATACGAGCCAATCTTGACCTGCTCCTTGACTGGGCCCATGCAGCCGGACTGGGAGAATTAGCCTTGGAGCACACACACACACTCTCATCGGCTGTCAATCTGCTGGCAACGCCTAGAAAGAATTTACTGCAGGTAAAACACACACACACACACACAAACCCGCATCCTGCAGAGTTATAATTATTCAGCTGTTAATAATCTCCAGACACACAAATGGCAAAGAGTTTCTCAGAACAGAAGATGTAGACAGCATGACCGTCTACCTTGAAAATGTTATTGTGTTATTCCTTCAAATAGTTTGCATTACAGTACCTGATGTTGACTCTCATTTCAGATCTTGTAATAAATCAATCGATTCAGAAGCTGAAAATGTAGAATCCTAATCCTCCCTCTAAATCTCGTGTGTCTCGTGGCCAGCTGCAGGGGAAACTCTTACTAAGAAATTGGAAGGAAAATGAGAATACAAATTTTTCTTCTGTTCATAATTTTTATGGACAGAATTTGAGAGATGAGATGATGAAAGATGAGAGAGCCTTTATTTGTCAGTTGCAGTTGCCCACAACCGAGATGACAGACCTTGCCGACCGTACATACAATACACAAACATGACATTGGGGAAACAGGTCAGGCTAGGTAGCAAGGGAAAAAAAACATCGAAATGTGTAACACAAAAGGATAATCCAGGAATGCACAGATAACAACACACCATAACACAATAAAACACAGACAAGCAACATGGGAGAAGATTCCAGTGTGTACAGCTGATCTGGGACCGCTGCAATCTTTGATTGCGCCTCCAGCTGATCCGCTGTCCCATTGGATGGGAGGTAAGCATCGGAGGAGGTGTTGGACTCGAGGGAGCGAGGGTGATAGTGCGTATCGGTATCAGTGTACATGTTTCCTGCGTGTGTGTGTGTGTGTGTGTGTATCCCGTGGTCAGCTGAGAGAAAGTGTCACTACGCCGGTTAAGCGAAGGTCAGCAGTCTCCAGTGGACCCAGGTGGCCTTGAAGGAGGGACAAAGAGTTCTGACAACAATCCTGTTATCATGGAGAATTTTTGTTATTCCAGTCAGCTTCAACCTTGGCAGGCCTTCAGCTGGCGCCAGATAGCCGCATGAGTGAAGATGGTGAATGTTTGGGTTTAGTGCGAACAACTGCATCTAATTTTTACAGTTGGTCTAATGTCCATCACTGGTCACCAATTCTCTCAATTCCCATTCTTCTTCTCCAAGATGTTATCCACATTGCAGAGCCATGAGCTTCTCCAAGATCTTATCCATATTGCGTTCAATAACACAGTCTTACTCACAGCCCTGCCGATTGTCTTTTGGGATTTTGGACAGCTGTAGCCGCTTCTTGTTCTTCGATAAGCCAGGTCCAATCAGCCAGAACTCTGTTATCGTGGTTCAGAATTGGTAGATGTCGTTCAATGTCCTCCATCGAGAGTGTCGCCAGACACACGATGCAACTGACCATCGAGTATCCAGCAGCAAACGTCTCCGCAGGACAATCGGGCTCTCCCAATTCCGTTACGGGACCAGTTGATCAAATCCATAATTCTTTAGGTTTTAGAGAACAAGACTGAGAAACTCTTTGAGGGTTAGAGTTAGACGAGACTAGACAAAGACATAGAAGCAGCAGCAGGGCAGATAAGGGAGGGAGAGGGTGAAAGATGCATCCGCCTCTGAAGAATAAAAAGATATACCATTCTCAAGCGTATTCCCTTGCCGGTCGTGCGATCGAACATTACAGCCTTTGGAGGTCTCAGAACCTCGCCTCTGCTTTTCGCAGATGATGTGGTTCTGTTGGCTGGTGGCCAACAGGTGGCGGCCTCCAGCTCGCACTGGAGTGGCCGTGTGTGAAACAGTAGGAATGAAAATCAGCACATCCAGATCTAAAGCCATGGTCCTCAGCTGAAAAAGGGTGGAGTTGCTGCCCCAAGTGGAGAAGTTTAAGTATCTCGGGCTCTTGTTCATGACTGAGGGGAGAGGGAGATTAACAGAAGGATTGGAGTGCTGCGGCTGCAGTGCTGTACTGGTCCATCGAGGTGAAAAGAGAGCTGAGCGTACAAGTCAAGTTCTCGA